AAAGACTGTAAGCAAACCAAGGCCTAGATGAAAATGAAAGGAGACGGTAAGAGTTTGAGAACATACAGTCTGTTTGTAAGTAATTTCATCAGTTAAATTAATTAAACACCTACTTAATGATATTATTAAATAACTCCATTACGTAATTATGTTATGTAGTTTGGAGTTAATTCTTCATTGAATTTATCTCTTCGGGAGACAACTATATAAGTAGATGCTTTGTGCATCTTAAAGTGTGGAGAATAAAGAACAAAACAACATAAATACTATAAGTCTTTATTTAGTGCATATTCTCTTCTTGAGCCGAAACCATCACAAGGCGGCTCGGGTTTTGAGAGCGTGGAGGATACCGACGACTCTAGTAGTCGTCGGGTAAAAGATACGAGCAAGTTTTTGCTTCCGCTACATAAAAGTTAGTCCTATATATATATTTATATATGTGTTATATAAAACCACTAACAGTGGTATCAGAGCCCGTTTATTCCTCCGGCGTTTTTTTTTTTTAATAAATGAATATAGTTATGTATTTGTTACATAAAATTCATTCTATTGATTAACTAAGTGTTAAATATAGAATGAGTGTCATTCATGAATTTGTGATCATGACAATGACATAAAGATAAAAAAATTGATATGGGGGAATAATTAGGTTTTGTGGCCTCATTAGTGTGTAAATAAAGATTTTAGTGTGAAGAAGATTAATAAAAATAAATTTATCGATCTCTTTATTATATCTTCTTCTTTCATATTCTTTGACTAAAAATAATATTTGTTATTATTATGGTTTTTAAATATTTATATGGTATTCATGTTTACCATTTAAAAAAAATCTTTTTGAAATTGTCATAATATTTGTTATTATGATGAAAAGAATAAATCAATATATTTGTAATATTGTGTCTGCTTCTTGTTATTTAAATTATCTAAGTGATATTTAAATAATTATTTAATATGATAGATAAAAATATTTTATTCATGTTATGAAACGTAAATATCTTTGTGATGTTTATATTTATTCAATATGATACATGAATATATGTTATTCATGTTAAGAGACTTAAATATCTTTATGATGTTTATATTTGTGTTTATTTGTTAAAACAATAACATGAATAAATGAATATGTTTCATTAGAATAAAGTTAATTAAATTATATTTATTTTTGTTTGTGTTATTTGTGATGATTATGAGCTTGGCGAAATTTTTGAACTCATGGCATAAACAAAAATAAAAGTGATAATTTAATTATATTGCTCTCATGCCTAATATCCATTTTATATACTTGTAGATGACAACTAAATCTATGATTGGAGATTTGTCCTCCAACGAAAAGCTAGATGGTACCAATTACGACATCTGGCATAGGAAGATTCAGTATCTTCTTAATGAACGCGAGGTTTTGGAAACCTTGTCCACTACTGTGATTGAGCCAAAGGATACTGCTAGTGCGCAGTACAAGGAAGAATTGACAACCTATCAAACGTGGTCCAAAAAGGATCGGTCTGCATGCTATACTATGTTGTATTGCAGGCATAATTATCTTATTGGAGAGTTTGAGAATTGTCCCACGGCTAAAGACATGTGGGACAAGCTTAAGGTCACCTTCGGACAAACTTCGGCTACTAGGCTTCATGCCTTGAACTTAAAGTGGATGGATTAAAATACGGATCCTACGCACTCTGTTGCCGAACATTTGCATGTCATGAGTGCCATGATATGTGACATAAAAGCTGCGGGACGAGATGTATTTGATGAGGAGCAAGTTCTAATTGTGGTTCGTTCACTTCCAAATGATTCTGAGAATTGGAAGAACTTCAAGCTCCTCATGGCTCATAGCGAGAACGTAAAAACTTTTTCAGAACTCGCTAAACATATTGAAATTGAAGTAGAACGTCAGAGAACGTTAGCACCTTCCAATGTTGCATTTCCAATGTTGCATTTGTGACCCATGGTGGTTAAGCCAAGGGAAATAAACGCAAACGAGCCAAGAAATTTTCCCGTCCTTCTCAAAATTTTGGATCAAATGGTGGTTCAAAGAAACAACTTATGGCACATGGCCAAAGGGAGAAGAAAATAGAGCGTGTGAAGTGCTATAATTGTGGACAGAAAGGTCATTTCGCTCGTGATTGTGCTGAGCCAAAAAAGGTATCTTCTACCACTAATTCTTTTGAACTATATGTTTGTTCTCATGCATTAGTTGCTAATTCGGAGACCACTAGAGGTAACATATCCCCCTCATCTCCTAAAGATAATTGCATTTCTTGTTGTAACTCATACAACTGAAGGTCTTTCTTAATTTCACCAATACTTGGGAACTCATTCTCAAGAAAATCGACATTGCGTGAGTCCAACTCAGTCATGCCACCATCTAGATGTTCACCAAACATAACATACTTTTGAATGTTCAGGGTATCTAATGAACACCATTTTGGTAGCTCTTGGACCAAGCTTTCCATACTTGTGAGTTTGGTTATGCACATAGCTAGCCGAACCCCAAGGGCGTAAATGGTCCAAAATGGGTGGTTTCCCATTCCACAACTCATATGGAGTGAGTGATACACTTTTACTCGGTACACGATTAATGATGTATGTTGCCGTAAGCAACGCATCTCCCCAAACTTTAATAGGGAGATTGGCTTGCGCCATCATCGACCTAACCATGTCTAGTAATGTACGATTTCTTCTTTCAGCAACACCATTTTGTTGTGGAGTATATGGAACCGTATGTTGTCTTGAAATACCTTTAGTCTCACAAAACTCTTTGAACATATCAGAGAGGTATTCACGTCCCCTGTCAGTACGAAGATTCTTAATTCTTCATTCTTTTTGGTTTTAAACTTCGGCCACGAAACGTTTGAACGTATCAAGTGCTTTGTGTCGATGGAATAATAGGTACACATACCCAAAATGTGTATAGTTATCAATAAAGGTAATAAAATATGTAGCCCCATGACAAGCTTTTATATTTAAAGGCCCACAAATATCAGAATGAATCAGCTCTAAAGGGTTTGATGCTCTTGATGCCTTACCAAAAGGCTTTTTAGTAGCTTTTCCGGCTAGATAAGGTTCGCATTTAGGCAATTTAACCTTAGTCAATTGTCCCTAAATGTCCTTCTTTAGCTAGCCAGGATATTCTATCTTGACCAATATGACCAAGTCGCGCATGCCATTTAACAGATTCAGAATCAATATTATAAAATGAAGCAAAAGCATGTGATGAGTCATTATAACTTTCATCCAAGCCAAGAACAAAGAAGCCATTCTTTAAAATACCACGTCCAAATAAATTGTCATGATATAAAATGTCCTAACCACCAGTATTGAAATTAAAGAAAAAACCAAGTTTTAACAAGGAAACAACTGAAAGT